AGAGAGAGAGAGAGAGAGAGAGAGAGAGAGAGAGAGAGAGAGAGAGAGAGAGAGAGAGAGAGAGATTATTTTGGGAAATCAAACCACCCGAGAAAGCGTACTAGCATCTCGGTTTTGTTTTGTTTTTTCTGTATATATTTTTTAAATAGTTTTAGGTTTAGTTATAGTAAGACTTTTGCTTCACTTGCAAAAATAAATAATAGCATAAATTCCGAAAATGATTAATTAGTTTTTATCAAGAAGCAGTATAATTTTCAAGAAAGGAGAAATAATGACGATACATTTTTGAAACGAAAGGAAGAAGCAAACAACACCAGAGCATCCACGAACTTTCCTCACTCAGAACATTTTCTACGACACTTGCAACAAAATTAGGTCATATAGATGCGAAAATTAGACGTGTTACAAGAGAGGAGCGAACAAACACAAAAAAAGAGAGAGGACACATAAGGACGATGGTTGTTTGAGAGGAAAGGAAGAAGCAAACCACACAAGAGCACCCACCAACCACCTACACATTTACCGATGATTGTACTTACCGTTTTGCTTTGTGTAATATACAGTTGACAGGCAGAATCAGAACCGTGGTCGTGGGTGCAGGTCATCTTTATGTGGACTTTGTCAGGCATAAAATATGGAGGTTTACAATTTATTTTGGCAACGCCTGTGGATGAAATGGGGAAATAAATGATGAACACATTTGGGAGTTTGTTTGTTTGTTTCGTTAGTTTGTAATTGTATTTATTTTTTATTATTTAAAATTTTTTTAAAATTTATTTATTTATTTATTCATTCAGTTAGTTAGTCAATTTGAAAGGTAGGTGGGCAGGTAGTTTGTTTGCTCGTAAATTTTTTATTTGTTTGTGTGTTTAAGTAAAGAAGTAAGTAAGTTTATTCAGTGTTCAAGGCCATTGGCCCACATCACATTACACAAGACACTCATTTGATAAATAAAGTTTCCATAATAAATATGTACATGTAGTGCATATATCTCATATCATGAGTCAAACATTGCATATTTCTGTCTCTGGGCCGAGCCAGGCAGCGGAGGATTAACAATTTCCTTTAATGGACAAAGTGTGAACAATAGAACATAAAGTGAAATTCATGTTCAATTTCATGAGAGTTACACCTCTCACATAAGAGCGAATTATCTAATAATTCACCGATAGAGATTGTTATTTAATGTTTGGTTTAAGTAAAGAAAATGCACATCGAGACAATATAATGGTCATTTAGTCCTGGGAAAACTCAAGACAAGCAGATAAAGACAACAGATGGAAAGCAAAGAGATAGGACCTATCAGCACCGCCCTCCAACTACCCACTGTTCTGGTGCTCTTGGGTTTACCAGTTACAATTACAGATACGGCTCACCAGAGTCTGTGGTGTAGTAGCTGTTGAGCGTTTTGTGGTCGTTAACAAAGATGGGTTCGAATCTGTGTGAGGAGATTTTTTTCTTTTATTGAGTATCTCCGTCTGTCTGTAGGGAAATTGTATCCTTTTCAGCCTGGGTTGACCCTTCGAGGATAGGATCAAAGCAGTCCGACTTCTTAAAGGACTGAATAGTGTTGGTTGGGGCGTTCTTATAGTGTTGGTATTCTTGTTATAGTGTTGTCTGTCTGTGGTATTCTTGTTATAGTGTTGTCTGTCTGTGGTATTCTTGTTATAGTGTTGTCTGTCTGTGTTGTTATTGTTTTTTGTCCGGTTTTGTTCTTTTGTTGTTGTTGTTGTTGTTTTTAAATCACGTTTCCGAAGAAGCCAATAATCGCGACGTGTTGAACGAATTTATTTATAAAGTTATAAAAGTTAAATATGGGATCTCGTGATCTTAAAGTAAGGTGATCGCCTCTCATTCAATAGATTCAGGTTCGAAATCTAACTTCGACGGAAACTCTTCTTTTCTAAAATGTTCTCGTTTCCCACTCTCTAATCACGTTCTGTTATCTGATTTCATCTCCAGTTTCTGCCTTCTGTCTTTCCCTCCTCCTCTGAACTTAGAGTAGGTACGATCGATCACCAAGCCTTCTTGGACAAGGGCAAAAATTAATTCGGAGGTTCTGTGTGCCAGTAGAGTACAATAAAGATTCCTTGGTGGTCCTGAAAAAGAGTAGGCTTCGACGGTCACCTGATAAATTTTGAAAATCAATTCCTACCAAACTGAAAATGCTTTATGTGTACGGCGCGCACACATGTCCTTAAAAATGCAGTTGCCAGCGCCGTAAGATACAAAAGTCTTGCCAAAACATAACAAAAAAAAAGGTATCGTAAGACGAATGTGCTCGAACAGGTCTATAAAAGTCAAACATCGATTTGCACATATTTTTAAAACATAAATTGACTTATATAAAAAAGATGTTTTAGCCATTTATCTATCAATATTTACAACTCTTTGTGTTAACTTTACGGAAAAATATGCGTACTTCTTGCACCTACCCTAAAATCAGGTGTATGGCTGGATGACAGTAGTAAGAAGTAGCCTGGTTGTCAAGTTTCAAACCCGGGACTTGTTGAATGAGACGCGAACACCATACGTCTCGACTGTGAGCATTCCCTTATGGTACCTTTCATCAGGCAGGCACCCAGAATTATTATTCCCCAAAGCTTGCCCCAGTTCCATCAATATCGCGAGAATACAGCATTATTTGTTATCATGAATATACCTCCTCTTTTCTTCTCGATATCCCCATCCACCTTCTCCTCTTCCTATTCGTCATCGTCCTCCCCCTCCTCCTTCTCCTCCAATTTTTTGGTGTTTTTGGCTTGAAAATTCGAGGATTTACAGATTTTGGACTAAAATAATGTTAGACCTTTATACTACGTGTTCCACATGTTTCCAAAGCTTAAAAACACCATACGTATACCAGTTTTCTGTTTTTTGTAACCTAGTCTAATTTTAGGATCACAAAAATGCCTAAGTTGTTAGTTTTGAGTTATAAAACACTGTAGCAATAACTGAAAACAGCATATAATGCTCAATCTGGTAAAATAACTCCCAGCACCGTTTGCATCCATTCAAAAACACTGTAAACCGTTGAAATAGGTCGCCAGATCCTGCTAAATAGATTCAGGAGTTTCCATAAGAGCGGATGACGCAGTCCATTCACTGCATGCCTCCCTTTGGCATTTTCAGCATGAGTCACTGAATTTTTTTTCTGAAATTGCCAAGTTGTTTTCCAAGATATGTATATGATATTTTGCAAGGACGTGTAGCAAAGGTGTCTAATTGACATTGAGAAGAGATTTTAGGCATATTGTCTTTGAATTTGACAAAAGTCTTGGCTGCATTAGTAGGGCGTTTTTAACTAATGTAATTTTTTTTCAAAGAACACATAAAAAAGTCTTTATTTAAATATGTTTTCTTTATTATGACACATCTCAGTTTGTTAAGAATGTACGCTGCAAATATAAGAGTTATATCTTCAACAGTTTTTTTTAGAAATGAGAAAATGTGAAATCATTAAAAATTCAAGATGGACGCCATGGTGACCATATTTTTTGCGAAAATTGTTTTTTAAATCTTCAAACGTCTCCTTTATATGACGCTTCAATGTCTATGTAGTCATGTTTCAAGATACTGTTGTCATGAACAGCAAAAATACTTATATCTATTAGTGCTTGCCTTGATATAAAAAAAACCTTCTAAATATAAAAAATGCTCAGAGCATTACAGAAGTATCATCTCATTATTTCAGTATGATTTAACAAAACTATTATGGAAAGGCAAAGTTGTCAGTCCGTCAAAACTCACCCCCTGCAATCAAGGCGACGAACACAAGAAGACCACCCAGGCACCCGACACATTTGCCCGCCATGTTTGAAGTGTTGTCTGAAAAAGAAAAACAAAGACACTTTAGAATACCCTCCTTTCCCCCTCCAACTCTCGGAAAACGACAGCAAAATACAGCCAGGAACCAAGACAACCTCACACCATCCCTCCCAGAAAATAAGCCACACACACAAACACACATACACACAAACAAACGTGAGGCAGCGTGGTGGAATCAGGTTTTCGTCAATTTTTGGGCATGTAGAGTTATTGGTATCATCTTAAAGCTTGTTCACTTGTCTTTATTTGGATTTAAAAAGTATCCATTTATCTTGAATACAAGTCGAGATATTTGCGAAAGAAGGAGGTGGGGTCACCTTTTTTCAGAGGTAAAATTAGTGAGAAAAATGGTCGCCAAAGGTTCGTAATCACCATAGCTTAAGAGTCCGTGGTAACTGAAAATTTACATTTTATGTGCCTTTAATCAACGTTTTTCTGGAAAAATCCACACAGAAATTAGTTCTTTAATGGACATGAAAAGTGTTGAGCCAAAAACAAAAATTTAATAAAAATTCACAAACCTGCGGGAAAATGCAAGTTTCTTCATTTTGATTACTTTGACGAGAGCCTGATTCCACCACGCTGCCTCACATACACATTCACACAAACACACACACACACACACACATACACACACACACACACACACACAAACATACACACTCACACAAAAACAAACTTACTAAAAGATATACACTCACACAAAAACACACATACACACATTCACACATGTGCGCGCGCACACGCACACACACACGCACACACACACACACACACACACACACACACACTTAAGCACACATTCTTAAGATGAAAAAAAAGACAGGCTCCAAAGTCCCACTTGAGAAAAGAGTGTACAACAGTTATAACTCAGTGCACATAAACCAAAGGAATTGAACGTATAAACTGTGCAATGTCATTCGAGTATGTTTAACACACATATTATCAACACTGTAAGCTTATTCAAGAGGCGGAACCTCCGAGCTTAACATCCTTTACTGAAAGGACCGTAATTGTACCTAGTCAAGAAAAAAAACCAAGAACTCTTTGATTCGTCCGTATTAAAAGCATTAAGTTAAATGGATATGAGAGGCATTGTGGTGAAATCAGGCCCTCGTCAAAATAATAAAAATCTAAGAAACTGGTACTTTTTATGCCATTTTGGCAATTTTTATCAAATTTTTGTTTTTTCCTTCAAGACCCTTAATGTCCATGTAAAACACATTTCTGTGTGAATAGGCTGTTAAATGCTGATTAAAGGCACAAAATATGTAATTTTTCAGTTTTCAACGACTCTCAAGCAATTGAAGTTACCGAACTTTGGAGGCCATTTTCAGGGTAATTGTACTACTAAAACCAAGTGGTCCCCACCTCCTTCGATCCCAAATATCTCGACTTCTATTCTAGATAGACGAGTATTTTTTTCTTGAATGTACTGCAGATTAATAAGCTTTTAGATGGTACCAATAGCTCCACGTGACCAAAAATTGACGAGCGCCTGATTTCACTGAGTCGTGACACATATAAAGTATTATTTTGATCAAAAGCAAGATAAAGGAAAAAATGTTTAAAAGTAACAACAACTCCTTACGCGCGTGTTTCTAACCGCATCATGCTACAATTGTTTTATGGTGGACATCAATTAACCATGGGATTACATCATTCAGGGCTGAGATAAACCTAGATCTACTAGAAAAGAGCTAAAGATTATATTTGCCAACTACACTGTCTTTCTTTTTCGCCCATTATTCTAACACAATGGTTAGCATCTACACGACTATCCCAAGAAACACGGCAGGATGTTACCGTACATGTTTGGTGTATTATCCAGTTTGCAGCCCAGGAAGAAATGAAAAAGAAGTAGAGACAATATGCGAAGTGCACATGAGAAAAACATTTTTTAGTTTTGAAAACATGAGTGGACACAAAGGTTGCCAAGTGTTTAAGCACCTCTTCTGTCTCATCAAAGTGTCCGGGGATAAAACCTATGTCAAAATAAAAACACATTTCCATGTGAATAATGTTGAAAAACTTTGATTAAAAGCTCAAAATATGTAATTTTTCAGTTTTCAAGGACTGTTTTGCTATTGAAGTTACCAAACTTTGGCGGCTAATTTTTCTCTATTTTTACCCCTGAAATCAAGGGACCTTATCTCTTTCAATTACAAATATCTTCACTTCTGTTCAAGATAGATGGGTATTTTCTTCATCTAAAGCAGGATACATGAACTAGCTTTAAGGTGATACCAATAACTCTACATGCACACACACACTGACCGGGACTTGATTCCACCGCGTCGTGAAACATATGTGAGGCAGCGTGGTGGCATCAGGCTCTCGTCAAGTTTTGGGCATGTAGAGTTATTGGTATCATCTGTTCAGTTGTCTTTATTTGGAAGAAATAAATATGTATTTATCTTGAATACAAGTCGAGATATTTGGGAAAGAAGGTGGTGGGGACACCTATTTTCCGATGTAAAATTAATGAGAAAATGGCTGCCAAAGATTAGCTATTTCCTTAGCTTTTGAGTCCATGGTAACTGAAAATTTACATTTTTGTGCCTTTAATAAACGTTTTTCCGAAAAATCCACTCAGAAATGAGTTCTTTAATGGGCCTGAAAGGTGTTGAGCCAAAAACCAAAAATGTGATGAAAATTCACAAATCTGTGGAAAATGCAAGTTTTTTCACTTTGATTATTTTGACGAGAGCCTGATTCCACCACGCTGCCTCACATATGAAGCTGCAAGTTGTGGATGAGTACGTAAGAGTACCCTCAGTTTAATATTTGTCTTGTAAAAGTGACAGTCGGTTTGATCTGTTCGGGCCATATCCAAGTGCAGCCTTTTCTGTCGTCGATCAATAAACCAATTTGGGGGGGGGGGGGGGTTGCTCCCATGCTCTAGGGGTACGGTGTTTGGCTCTCTTTCAATAGGTTCTAGGTTCGAAATGTGACAGCAATGGAAAAATTTTGTCTCTAAAGACGTTTCTCTTTAAACTTTTCCTTCTTACTAACCATGTTCTGTCGTCTGCTTTTGTCTCCACTTTCTGCCTCATCTTCCCCCACTCTTTTGCCCTCTCCCCCCACTCCCCCCTGCCCCTTCCTCTTCTGGGTTCCTGACTCTTTTTGCTGCTTCTCTGCTGCTACTCCTTGGCTACTTCTTACTGCTGTTTTTTTTTCAGCCTTACCCGCGATCTAAGGGCAGGAAAGATCTAACACCTAGCCTTCTCGGGCAAGGATGAAAAAATCTCCGAGGTTCGTGTGCATGTTGCTTACGCTAAAGATTCCTTGGCGGTCCTAAAAATGGTAACAGTAGACTTTTGACGACACTCGTGCACAAGTCTCAATTAATTTCTCCCAAAGCTGAAAATGCTTAAAATGTCACACGCGCTCACATGACCTAATGCAGTTACGACCTCCGTTAAACACTGACAACACAAAAAAACAAAACGACTTCAGTTGGTCAGGCCGGCAAGCTATGCAGCTTGTATCATCATGAGGTGCACATGGTTTGTCTAAGTACTCCATTATTTCGTCACAAAGTAGTTACTTCCTTTTTGAGAATGCGAACTCAACGCCTAAAATCATTTTGAGTCGAAGCTCATTATAAAAACTGAGATAATAATTATTATAAAAATAATAATAATGATAATAATAATAATAATAATAATAATAATAATAATAGAAATAATAATAAAAATAATAACAATAAAAATAATAATAGTAATAATACTATTATTATAACATTCATTTAGCGCATTTCCAAAAAAGTAGCTCAATGCGCTTTACATTGGAATACCCATTTTCAAAACCTTTCGCACTTCTCTCTTTCTTCTCATTCATTATATTATATTTATGTATACAAACACACACACACACACACACACACACACACACACACACACACACACACACACACACACACACACACACACACACACACAGGACTACTTTCATTCTGAAGTAGGCACAGAACAACTATAACAAAAAATAACGCTAAAAGCTTATGAAGGATTGGCCTGAAGGAACAGAAAATGCTTAAGACGTCTTTTGAAGCAATCAAGTGCTCTTGTTCGTCTTATTTCCATGGGTAATCTGTTCGACATATATGGACCAAGATACTAGAAAGATTTCTCTCAATATGATTTGTATGATTTTACAGGTGTCACAAGTAGGGTGTTATCGTTTAATGATCTTAGGTTTCTACTTGGTTTATATATTATTATACTGGTAAGTTCTTGTGGATAAAAAGGAGCAGTTTTATTTACACATTTGAAACACATGACGCAGATTTTAAATATTTTTTTTTTTTTTACAGGGAGCCAATGCAGTTCTTTTAATAGTGGAGTGACATGGTCTCGTTTTTTAGATCTTGTTTTCAGTCTAGAGGCATTGTTTTGAATTACTTGTAAACGATTTAAATATGTGTTGTTCAAACCTGCTACAAGAAAGGATAAGAGATCTTAACAATGTTTTTGTGGTCTCTTCGTTTAAGTACTTTCGAACTAGGCTTATTCTTCTCTGATGAAAATAAAAGGATTGTCCTACAAACGAACCCATTGATAAGTGATGGTCAATATATACACTGAGATTCCTGACTACTTGTTTACTAGATGTCATATGCCCATATAAATCAAAGTTGACACTTTCCAGATCTTTATTTAATAGTGGATTATTTATAAGAATGATGTCTATCTTTTCTTCCTTTAGTTTCAATTTGTTTACTGTCATCCACTTTTTAATTTCATAAAAACATTGTTCAGTGATAGAAATCATGTTTGGCAGATATTGAATGATGCCATTAACATACATTTTGGAATCATCGGCATAAAAATGATAATTCAATCCATGATTTTATAAATTGCTTGCTAAGGGCTGTGTATCTAGCGTAAAGAGCACTGGTCCAAGAATGGACTCTTGTAGAACTCCATAATCGAGCCTGACCTGGTTTGAAAAGGTATTTGTAATTTTAACTGATTGACCTCTTTTTAGTAAACATGACTTAAACAATGAAAGCACAGTACCTGATAAGCCAAATGAGGGTTCAAGCCTTGTGAGAAAAATAGAATGGGCAATTGTGTCAAATGCTGCTGATCCAAAAGAGTTAAAAGACAGATATCCCATAACATGTGCCAAAACCTGGTGGAATCAGGCGTTCGTCAATTTTTGGGCATATGGAGTGAATGATATCATGTTAAAGCTTGTTCATTTTGCCTTACATTCGATGAAAAAAAACCCATCTGATCTATCTTGAATAGAAAACAAGATATTCCTGACTGGTTTCAGAGGTAAACCTATTGAGAAAAGGGCCACCAAAGTTTGGTAACTTCCATAGCTCTGAGTCCTTGGGGAAATTAAAAAAATATATTATGTCTTGTGCTTTTAACTAATTAACATTTTTCAGTACAGTCCACACAGAAATGTTTTTAAATAGACATAAAAGGTGTTGAACCAAAAATGAAAAAAATCAAAAAGAAATTGCAAAATGTCGTATTCTTCCATTTCATTAATTTGACGAGCACCTGATGTCACCACAGTCATTGAGCGCAAAACAAAAAATTCAATTAAAATTTACTACCAAGCGAAAATGAGAGACACTTAATTCAATTTCATTATTTTGACGCAAGACTGATTTCCCTGCAACGCCACAAGTATCCTTGTATGCAAGTTTGACTAGAACTATTTTAATTCTATCAGCTTCTTGCAATGACCTCGTAGGGTATTATTATTTTTGCACATTATATTGCACACACATACACACACACACACACATACACACATACACACATACACACATACACACACATTACATCTATTATAATATTATTTACAATAATAAAGCAATATTATATATCGTAAGCATTCGATAGCTAAACACTCGAAAGCCTGACGTTGTGGAAAGATAAACAACCAACCAAACAACCAAACGACCAACCCAATAAACAAAAAAAAAGTTCCAATTTTGTAATCGGTGAGCGAAAAAACGTCAAGTAATCGTGGTGGCTGCCATACGGCAACATTCTTCCTGATCTGTATAATGTAAAGCAACTTTTAGTCCATACCGGGCAGTTTCATATTTTTGGACTAAAAACTGTTGTGGGTTTTCAAGGCTACAACTTACAAAGATTATTATTAAACAAATTAATTTAATCCTCACCTAACCGTCAAACTGTCACCTAAATCTATATGTGCTATAGAATCATCGGCACCTTTTTCATAGAAAATATTTTTACGGCGCTCGCAACTGCATAAGGTCGTATGAGCGCCAAGGGATGGGTATCAAAAGAGAAGTCTTTACAGGTAATCAGACTTAACACTGCTCACCTCTCTAGCTTCAACAGCACAAGGTCTGCTTCGTCTACCAAGGCACCCCGGAAATAGCAGGTCACAAGAGAGGGACAAAGAAAGAAAAGAAGTAGAGGAAAAAAAACAATAGTAAGGATCAGTAAAGAAAAAGCAGCAGTTCCCTGTTGTAGATCAGGCACAGTTATGAGCGT